CGTCAGGTTTCCTAAAATTGGTTAACTACTATTAAAATAAACATAAAAATAAAAATGTTAGTAAACTTTAAATGATTAGTATTTAAGGAAATTATAAAATATCGTCATCAATAATGTCTATTAATGATACTAAACTGTTGCAAAAAATGTTTACTAATTTCTGATGTACAGCTGTCTCGTGAATTGGCTGCGTAAACTATATGCCGTCTGTGAATTTTAAATCTTTAATCGGTCCATTGTGCGTGAAATCTACAATACTATACCTCAACGTCAGGTTTCCTAAATTTGGTTAACTACTATTAAAATAAACATAAAAATAAAAATGTTAGTAAACTTTAAATGATTAGTATTTAAGAAAATTATAAAATATCGTCATCAATAATGTCTATTAATGATACTAAACTGTTGCAAAAAATGTTTACTAATTTCTGATGTACAGCTGTCTCGTGAATTGGTTGCCTAAACTATATGTCACGCGTGTCGTTTGTCGTATCATCCTGTAGATAAAAGAATTTTTAAATTAAGTTTAGTAGTTTCGGAGGGTATTTTACTTATATATGATATTAGTATAGATAAATTAAAAAAGAAATGTCTTTTCAAGAACCTGCTGCTCTGAGAACATTGAAGATATGGTATCGAACTATAAATAACTTCGAAAATTCCGTCTCGACGTATCGTAGCGCAACACGGCAATAAATATTGTTCATTTTCGTCCTGTGGGCTATGCATGTCGATGGAGCCAGGATATACTACGTTAGGGAAATTCAGCTCTGCGATTGTGAACCAACTGGTGCCATAAAGATGCATTTATTACACCTAGCTTATATGTATATGCCGCCATTAAAACTGGACAGATTTAAAACTCCTTGGATGATTTCTACTAGCTAAAGAGCGTTGGAGAAAAATATTAAAAATTTATTATGAAAGAGGTTAATTACCCGGTGAAAATAAACTTGAAACTGTTTTAAAAAGTTACAAGCAATTTAAATAATACCTTCTTACATAAAAATACGTTCTAATTCACAAAGTATATTTGTCCTATGACGTAACTGTTGACATTAGATACATACATAGTATTATCAGTAGTTTTCAACAGATGGCCTAAGGTACGATAATTTTAATAATAAGCAGTGTTGCCAGAAAATATTTTTTATTTTACAATTTCAAAGTATCTTTTGGTCGTCATTGATTTGGTCAAAATTGAATTATATTGTAAAAGCTTTTTAAATTCATAATGAAAAGTAGTGGAATATAAAGTAATCTATACTTAAAATATATACAGCTAAATCGACCATTAAATTAAATAAAAAAAGTATAACTAATAAAATAAAAATTATGTAATGGAGCTTAATCATTTCCGTGACATACATTAGAGGAGTAGTTTTTCCATCAAAGTACAACTTGAGCCTGATATCGTATCCTTAACAAAAACAATCTTTCTAGAAATATCAGTTAGAAGCATCTTCAACATCAAAACATCTGTTTTGATTATTGTTTGCTTTTGAATAATGAACCATATTTACTTTCCCATATAAAATAATACGACCGTCATAAATATCCCGCCAAACAAAAAGTAAGCTTGAAGTAACTGTAATAAACTTCATGTTAGTTTATTACATCTCCCAGTTATTTGAATACTTCAGCAACACCTTAACATATCATTCTGCGGCATCGCATTTCATGTTTATAGCAAAACTTGGACTCCATGCACTTAACCAAATGGCTTTCCGATACTTACAACGGCGGTGTAGGATGCGTACCGCTACATTTTATGCATACCAAGTTATTTTGTAAATTATTGCATGACTTATTTGCAAACTCTACAGAGTCGGTATGGAGATAAATATATCATTCGACTTACTTATCTTCTTGAACGGAAACTGGAGTGCCTTATTACGCAAATGAGATTTTTGCTAAAGAGTCTTGGTTATAGCTACTTAAAACAAGCTGCCAATATAATATTTCATTCCAGTATATATCGTACCGTATATATTTCACTACTAATTTGTTAAATCATAAGTATCATTTAAAAGGGGTAAGTAAAAATTTGGCAAATAGAATAACGAGTTGTATATTTTTCAAATATTAAATAGTACCAACCATTAGCAAAGACCGAGTGAAAAGAGCATGCCAAAACGATTTAGCGACAATGTTTTAGAACATCAAAAGCCGGCATTTAGAGCTTGAGCTGATGTCATTATCTCGTCAAATGGCCATAACGTACCAGAGGCGATGCCGGTGCGAGCCGTCTGTGAATTTTAAATCATTTTTAATAGTATCACTGGCGCACGTCACGTCAAAGCTAAACCGGCCCATCCCATTCTGCAATTTGATTTCCGTATTATTTTTTCGCTTGAAACATAAACTTTCTCTTAATTCGTCAAAAACGCACGAGCGGTTCTTTTGTTTATCACGAGCTCCTCGTAATTACGTACCGAGTCTGTTTTCATACCCGTCTGTACTCATGCGATACGTGAACATTATTATGTTCGTTTGTTTACAAAGGAGCCCTTGATACTAAAGAGTCGCGGCGTTGACGTCTAACTCGGGGAATTTAATTAACTTCGTTAACTTCTAAATACTCTTAACGTCTTTGATACCTCCGCGCCCTAGCATTGACAAACGCGAGCGTTCGGTGTGTACATGGCAGTCGCTGTCAAAGTTTTATCGAGCCCCGACTTGGAACTGGCTGGAAACAGTGATTTAGGCGTGATAAAACAAACGGAACGCGAGCGGAGACCCGCATTGCGGGAGCATCATACGCTCATTTCTCATTGTCTGCTTGCACTCTTGCCAGTACAAGTTCGCCGGTGCAGTTTAATGCATATTATAACGTGGTAAGCACTCAAAATAGTGTAAGCGGTGACGCAATAAAGCGCCTGCGGACTCCGACGCACGGTGTCTCTTTATTGAAAGAGTAAACTGTCCTTTTTCACTGGCCTCCCCGAGCTCTTTGTGATGGAATTTCGAGCAACTTATTTTGCGCTCCGAGTGTAAATAATAGTGAACTAAGAGAGCTCCGGATTTTCGGGATACAACTATTTTCTCATTTTTGCTGCAGCCTGTATACGCGAGAATATTTATTGTACGTCGCTGTCAGTCGGCCGCTGCGTTTATATTTTATTGTGTTTCACTCTGAAGTTCGGTAATGTAACATAAAGGAAGCCGACAGCTCTGTTGCGATTCGAACGCGGTAACAAAGTTACATTGTGCAGATTAACTAGCAGTAATTATAAACGTACGTGGTTATAGAAAGGGAGGGTACGTCAAAGGTAACGTTTAAACAATTTAATATTCCACACAAGCATTTCAAGCGCCAACTCAAACGTAGCCTCTCCTTTCGTAAAAGTTGTTCCGTAAACGAACCCCCCTTCGTTAGATATCTACGTGAGTTTAATCCAGTCGGTGGCCTCGCGGCGGGGCGGTTCGGTCGGGAACGATTTCCTTGGAAAATTGGCGAAAATTGCAACAACACAGGCGAAAATTACCACTCGGTTACGTTGTTTAGAGCACGACTCCAATTTATGTGGTTGTGGAAATGTGACGTCATTCGGGTCTTGGATGCCTCGGCTACCGACTTGCTAGTAAAGAACGCCAAATATTATTTACCGATAGTTTTACATATTTACGAATAGCTCGGTAGCATAGTGGTTAAGTCCCGCGGCCTACCATCGTTGTTGTTAAGCAACTTTGACAAGGGTCGGTCACGGGATGGGTGACCGATAAATTAGTGTCTCGAGCTATTTCGCGTTTCAGAAGGCACATTAAGCCGTTGATCCCGGCTATATTTTATTATTATATTTTTATTATTATATTTTTATTATTTCATTTATTTATACACACAGCAGTAGAAGTAATACAATCCCTAATGACATGTACGTACTTTAGAAATTATCGTTGCTTTTATTTGCACATATTTGACACCATTAAACTAAGTTTGCAGTTTAGTATAACGTTTGACTACAGCTGTATAGTTCATATAGGATTTAGTCTAGCTTTTAAGTCAATAAATTGACGATGTACGTGTAAAAAGCTTTGCTGCTATACGGATGTTTCGCACGCCATTTCACGAGAAACAATAGGTATAATCGGTTTTTCGTGTTTTCGACTAAATCCCCTGTTCCATATTCGAATATGTGCAGGTAGATGGCAGTACGCGAATCCATTGTATCATTTTCACCAGTGGTAATTTCCCAATGGGCTGGTACTTTTCCTTAATTATGATGAACGAATTAATTATTTTATATGCTTAAAACGTCTAAGCTTTTCGTTACAAATTTACGTGTGTCCTATTGATTCTATTCTATTTGTAAAATATCTGTTAGTTTCTTTTTAAATTATTTGATATTTTGCTTTTAATAGTTAAGGGTTTTCTTTGTGTAATTAAAACTTTTCTTAAACAAAATATTTTTCCAGGAACAGGTACCTACATAAAAAATTGTACATTATTTTATAGCTTTTTTAAAAGTACTGGAAGTAATATAGCTTTTCACAAAGTTTTCTTAAGTGTAAGGGAAAAATAAGGTAACATAAAACGCTTATTAATGTCATGTCAGAAAATTTGTTTGCTATAACAAAGAAAGTATCTACAAAAATCTACTTTCACTGGAGCTTTGATCATTTAACCCCTTGACGTTATGGTGTAGTTTTCTAATTTTTATATACAGTCTGATTTGTCGTAATTTATTTTTGTACAAAATCATATGGACGTTAATGATTTGTGGTGCCCTCTTTATAGGCTTACTGAGTATATTGATTTTCTATATACATTATAAAAGCGAACTCACTCCTCCGAAATCCCAGAAACTATAAGTGCTATGACTTTTAAACTTTGCATGAGGGTTCTTTATAGGACGTCATTGCTAATTAAGATGGGATTTTGCGTAATTCGACCCTAAGAGTGTATTTTTAAGGTTGATAATATGTATGAAATAGGTAGTTTGCATTAAACAACTTAAAAGTAAGATATATCTTCATAACTACACAAGAACAACACTTACTTGTGCCAGCGTAATAGACGGTGTAATCTAGTTGGTGTCCAAGCATGTCCACCTTGACCCTATCTACCACCAGTCTGGTGAAGAAAAGGTCCCGCTTGTAGTATATCGGTTTCTCGTTCTCGTGGGACACAGCGCTGTCCATCAACGGGTGGGACCTGAAAATGCATTCTCATATAAAAATTGTAAAACACTTGGCTCTCACAATATTTTCATCTCCAATCCAAAGCTAGAAGTTAAATAATATAAAAGTTTCTTTGATCCATTTTGCATTCACAAAACTATCTCGATATTTCTCAGAGTTAAATAAAAGTTTATACTTTATTAAACTAATTTACTTGAAATAAAATTTAAATTCTTAATTGTTTTGTTATTTGGTCTCGTTCTATTTTTAAGTTACTTTTACTGCCTTTGATTTAATGGTTGTAAATATAGCAATGAAGACACTCAGATTGCCTTCAATCCATCACAAAAAAATACCCAATTCTTTAAATACATCAGTTTTGAATTAAAATTTAGTATATACCTAAGGTGAACTATGATTATGGATTTAATTTTATCATATGTGGTAACTGAAATTTAATTATAATTTTGGACAAAGGAAAATAACAACGTCAGTGTGTTTAAAAATAAAATAAGCAAAAAACTGGTATTTTTATAATGAACGTCACGTTATCGTCTTACTGAGAATAAATGAAGGCGGTGCCGTTCATCGAGGCAGCTGACGCAGCGAAATTTATAGCAAACACGAAATTAAATTTATTATACAACAATCTAGAATGTTAAGAGTGTTCTCATAATGTATATTCATCGAAGCATGCCGTCGGAAACATTTCAGCGGGCTGATAACAATGTCGCACGGCACTGAGAGTGCGCGACACGATAATGTCGCCACCGCACCACAGATAAAAGCCTTCAACTGTTATACTAACAACGAAATACCTCATTCGTTTAATTAAAATCTCTGCTCTCGGTGCGAATAAAAAATTATTATACTATTTTCAGCAGACGGGTTCAGGTGAAGTGTTAAAATCTCCACGTTTCCACACGAGGATAGGTGGAAGAGTGGGGGGTGGGGAAAAAAAATATAATTGAACACTCTCTGGGTGAGAGCGTCGGATAATTAACAGGACGTGTCGCTGGATAAAAGTGCCGGTGGATTTCAATAGCATGAAAATTCTGGAGTAACTCAAGAGACTTACAGTGATCATGTTTCCTGTTTTTAAGTGACGATTTTCTACTTTGTTTACCGACGGCGCGCTTTTTACAATGACGACAGTCTGTTTTGTTACTTTTTTCTTTCATTCAACGTTCGCTTGTGTTAAAAATAAATTAACTCGGCCCGCTTTTTTTAATGAAAAGGACAATGGTTTTCTGACCGTAGGTTGTTATTAAAATAAGAGTAGTCTATTATGGCCTGTCTGGCTTTTGCTGCAGGTCTTTTTTGTATCATAGATGTGTTACTATTAACGAGACTTTAATGACTGGTGGACTAATTAAATAATTTTAGATGGTCATAAAATAAAGTATTATTAATGAAAACTTAAAAAAGGGTAGCCTTTTTAAATAAATATTAGACAACATCATATATATGTATAACTCGAGGGGTTTAGCTACTCTTAGGAGTATTAGGACAACGAAGGTACATAACAACTTTTTATATTATTTCAGGTCTAGAAACAATATAGCAAACTTTATTTTCTACATTTACCCGATCGGGAATAGAACCTGGGACTTCAGTGATAGAACAGGACACCTTAAAACCGGCGTGTGAACCACTCGGCTACGGAGGTCGTCGATATATATATTAGTTAATCATTCTATAGAAACAATTATTTTCTGTATGTATATTATCTTTCTCACCTTATAAAGTTGAGTACAGTGTCTGGAAGAGAGGAAGTGTCATTCACACAAGTGCCAGGTCTTGGTTCAGGAACTCTACTGCTTATAACTGGCAGCCAAGCAGAGCTGGAGGTGGCTTGCTCTTTGAATTTCCCTTCAAAAGCTTTCTGAATGTCGCTTATAGTGAAGGTGCAGATTGCCGAGCCCATAAGGCCGGTAGAAGCGGTGGTGAATACACCATAGAAACGGCTGTCGTCCCCTGGCACTTTATATATGCTTTCTGTGGAAAAAAAAAGAAATTAAAACATTACTTATGGTATCTCCCAAGTTTGAACTCATCGAGATCTATTACAATCAACATTACGTCAGAATATAGATACTTTTTCTAACTAAAAACCTGTTGATAACTATGTTCATAATTGTTTATAGATATTTATGGTAACCTGAAGAGCTGCTTTATGCATTTCAATATTAAAAACATTCGGTATTTTATTATAAACGAATATCTATTTCATTTTCCATATTAAATTTAATCACAGCACATTCAGGGATGTTCTGTACGATTTTCAATTAAAATAACATACACCCAGTTGCATGTTCATTAAAGTTGATATTACTTAAAAGCCAAATAACCGACAAATGTTTAAATTTATAACACTAATTAGAGCTTAAATACATCATTAAACGTAAATGGACGTTTGTGCAACTGGGTGATATGCTGTTTTTCACAATTTTCAGTCCCTATTATAAATAACTTTACTTTGTTCCCATAACAAATTGGTGATAAAAATAGTGATTAGCACTGCTATTCTATAATAAAAATAACCAAGTACTCGACGACGAGTACAGCGCTGTCGAAGTTTTTTATTTTATTGAAGCTTTATATTGTCGCTGCGTTCTACGTCGCGTTCGAAACTAATTTTAACAGAGTCACATAGCTGATTATAGTATCATAAATGTCAAAAAAGGGATATTTATATTTACTCAAATAATAATTATTTAAAAGACTTAACCACGGGATATAAAAACTTAATCTAACGAGCTCGATGGCGCAGTTGTTAGTTCGCTCCGTCTGTGATACCATTGTTAAGAAACTTTCGCAAAAATGTCAAGCTCTTCCGTTCTTCGGAAGGCACGTTAACGTCTTTGGTTCCAGCTGTAATCGTTAACACCCAACAATCCGTATTGGGTCCGCGTGATGGGTCATAGCCCATTTTTCCTTATTCGATTCCATCGATAGAAAAGGCCTGAGTATCTGCAGTAGGAAAGTTAATAGGCTGGTGATGAGTTAAAGATGTTTTGAAACTGATTCGTAAATGTATAATTATCTTAAGAACGAAATTATGCGAAATGAGTGTGTTACGAATCAAACCTTTTTGAAGTGTCTAATTCACGAATATTATGCACATACAAATAATAAGCCGGTGAACGTTTTCCCCGCAAGATACAAACTTCCAAGTAATTAAAATTCAAATTACAAACCCCCGATACGAGAACCAAAGCTAAAATTTATCAAGCACTGTCAAGATGTCTAATCTGTTCCGAGCTGTCTCAAGTTCGGAGTCAACTATCAAATTATAATAACTGTGGGTACTAAACTTTATATCTTGATGTCACTGAAATTTGCCGTTACAATTAAACCAGTTTCTGAAACTATTAAATGTCAACCTCTACGGCAGGGGACGGAATTTATTGTGCGGTCAGCAAAACAGGGAGCTGTGTGTGGTTTTAAAAGGTACCCTCTAAAGAGAATAATATGTGCAGGTTTTACGTTATGTCACATAAAAATGCCAATATTTTATCTAAATTATCATTAGCCGTAAATTAGCTAATTGTGTCAACTGTATTAAGGTAAAGGGTCTGAATTGTTATTGTTTTTAAAGGTGGTGGTTAGGTCTTTATTGTAGTATAAAAGCTACATATTACACTCGTTCATATATATTTACTAGGTTATATTAGACTCGATTCTCATGAGTAGTGATTATCAAGTAAGCAAAATAAATAGTGTTTCTGGGAATGTTTTTCATTTGTTTTTATTATTGGAAATAATATAATTAATAGAAATATTTAATGATGCATTCTTGATTATTTTGTTTGGTTAATTTTCAAAATTGTATTTATCGACTCTTAGTTAGATATCTTTTAAGATGAATTATAAACTCTATTTACGTTTCTTAAAATAGGAAGGGAATCATAAGTTTATATTAAGTTATAAGTTAGAAATTAGTTGAAACTAAAAAATCTTAAATAAGAAAGGTAATGATTTTATTCGAATGAATTATAATTCGAATACTTATAAGTGATTATATTAACAATCACTTAATTATAATTATTATGAAAGGGTCAGTATAATCAATTATAAAGCAAATGTTCGTACGTTAGTAAGAGTTTTAAGCACTTAAATAATAGAAGTTAGGTTATGATACAAATGTAAAATACAATAAACTTAAAAAGAAAAATGTGTGACTACTGAAGAGCGTTATTGCACTTAGATTTAGTCAGTGTAATCAAGTAAGGTAAATCAAGTTTATAATAAATGAAAGTGTATTTTAAATTTATTTAAAATAATATATTTTGAAAATAGTGTAAGTAATTTTCAAATAGGTATCGTAATTTTCTCCTTTTAATTTAGAAATTCTGCATTAATAATGATAAGTTATATTTATACTAAGAAAATTTTAAAAAAGCACTTAAATATTCCACCCGAGGCGGTCTTTTGACATTTAACACTTCGCAATTGCTTTCGAATGATTGAAAACTCGAAAAGTTTTCCCATGTTAAATTTAAATTTGGAAAACTTGCCCCTTCAACAAATATCACGCGTCAATCGGCAAATATTTAAGATACGAATTCGTAAGTGCACAATGCGATTCGGACGACAAAAGTCTAGTCGATTCCCCGCAGAGCCGGGTCCTGCCAGACTGCCTTCATATAATATTAACGTCAGCGCCCGCTCACCACGGTTTTTCACGCGGCCCCGGTACGCCGCCTGCATAACTCATGAGAGTGTAATAGGTACTCAAGCGTTCCGTATTCGGGCTATAGGTGTGTTATTTACATGTCTGTAGGAGCCATTAGGAGCGTTTACGTATCGCGCCACACTGTTCACTCCTGATCGGGAACGTTGCTGGTACACGAATTTTAGATGACAACATTATATTGTATTAAATCTCCTTGGTTACGGTTATATTTCTAGAAAAAATAGTTTACTGAAAAACAAATATTTTGTATTTAATATTGTAGTTGCGTAAAATATAGCCAATGTTTAAGTGTTCAAAATTTAAATTAAATTCGTAACGAACTATTCTGTTTTTATTTATTATAAAGTCGAATAGAATATGTTCTATTGCAATAATTTTTTACTGATGTGGTTAATTTGTTAGTCAATATGACCGAGCGATTTTTATAGACTCATTTTATTGGTCTATAAACCAGGGACAGCCACTGACCGACCATTGAAAATAAGGCATAGAATTCGCTCGCATTTCGCATACGGACTCCATCGGTCAATGCAAATGAGAACGAAGGACACTTATATGTGGTCTCTTTACTTTATCTTGTAATCAATAAAAAAAAACAAAAATGTTGATCTATAAATAAATCGTCTTTATATTGTTAGAAGGTAACTTCTAAGTATTTATAAAATTAGCATATGGGTTACTCAAGGTAGTTACGTTCAAGTTTCCTGTCTTTTACTTTAATGTAGCTAGTGCCTACTTTTATTAAGTACAAACGAAAATGATTTCTGGCGATGCAAAGTTTTTATTTTAAACTTCTTCATTCCATTATTGAAAGAATAAATACATCGTTGTACACGGTAATTGACATGTAAATTATAATTATCAATTGAAGTACAATCATCAGCCTTTTATTACTATTAAAAAAAGCAAATTTGTTTAAATTGAGAATCAATTCTCAAATATATATGCATGTATACATAAAATACAATAATACATCTAGACATATCTAACAATAAGAACTAGAATGATCCGATAGAATAAACAATATAATACATATTTCAAGGTGTTAAATAATGCTCTTTTATTATATCTTTATAGATTGTTTGTTGAAACAATTATACTTACGTATTTCGTTGAAGTAAAACGGGAACTCTCCTGGTATGCTACAATTGAGTCTTGCTTTTAAATACGTAGCCCAATTCTGGCTGAGGATGTTCTTTCCACCGGTATCTCTCTTGCATACCCTCGCCACCCTGGAGTAGACCGCCTTGCCACAGTTTATGTATTCCACTGCAGTCTCGCGGAAGAAGAATAAGACGTATTCTCCGACGTCGAAAGACCCCACGAAGTTCGGTTCTAGAAAGAAGATTTTATCGATGTATTTTTATTTATTGGTGAAACTACATTATTGATGGGGAATTCACTCGATAGTCATGCCCGCGGGCAAGTATGCAGGCACGCCTACCGATCTGCGCTACTATAGGTCTATATAATGATTGCGACGGTCCTACACTAGCCAGACATGCTTGCCCTATAGCAGTGAGGTCCGACAGGCATGCCTCCAGACTTTCCCGCGGGCATACCCGGCTAGTGAATTTCCTGCTTTAACACGAAATGCAAAAATAGTAATCTTATGCAAAAGTGTCAAATCATTAAAATAAAAGGTTTAGTTGTACAAACGTTTTTAAGGTAAAGTTAATGACGATTTTAAGCTGTGACGAATGTTCTAAATTTGTATTAATAATGTCGCTTTAAATTAATGTGAATTTTATTAATATTTGTGCAATGGGCATTTAGACACTTATTTGCGAAGATTTCAAATGATTCCATTTTCTTCTGTAATCAAAAACGAACTGGAACGAGTAAACCGAATTTATATTACGAAATTAGTGATAAGCATTATGAAACTAGTTTCACGAAAATAAATTCAGCATATGTAAAACTAAAACTTCTTTGAAAAATGTAGTCGTACTTGAGTTGATCTAACATAAAATTTGAAATATGTTATCTTGGAAAAACATCGAATCATATATATATATAATTATATATATATACATATATATACATTTAAATAAAGAATCTCTATGGAGCATATGCTGTCACGAAACTAGTTTCGCGCGTATATACAGGGGAAAATTCATTGCATGACATTAGTTTTATCGAAAATATACGTGCATTGCATGAAATTAATTTAATGCCAATTTGTTTCTTAATTACGTCCTGCTTAAAGACGCACAGGGAAAGTCTGTGTTAGACCAGCATAGATAGAAAATTGTAAAGAAACTAGTTTATAACAAAATAACAAATAATGATACTAAACATACTAGATAAACTACAAATATAAATTTCATACGTAAAATACATCAATGCCGTTACTATTATATTAATTTTAAATAAACTTTTCAAGCATTAAATCGGGGAATCGAAATAAGGCCATTAGGAGGTCCTTCGGAACGTTTTAGAACTACTATAATAATAACCCGATTAAAGCATTGGCTATGAATTTTTGATTAGACAGAGGATAAAATTACAATAGACACCTGTCAATCCAGTATAATTAGAATGTGATGCTTAAATTATGTATAACAGAAATGCCTTGCTAGCGAGTTCTCATTGCTAATGCCGTAGTGTCAAATTACTGGTATTCCGTAATACGCCATAAATATTATATGGTATGGAGCGTCAAATATGTCGTATTGGGCGTTCATAGCTCGCATTAATACGTACTTATTTGTTGGTTTCGAAATGAAAGTGGCACGTGTATAGGATTACGTTATGCACGCGTGGCGTACGCACCATCTTTTTTCTTTGTTGAATAATATCATCCGCATGCACTAGACGCAGTTAATCTGCGCAGTGGCATATCAAACTTTAATATAGTAATAGAACTTTGGAAATTATTGACGCTATAAATTTTAGTTTCGGTTTAATTAATATTTAGAATGCAAGATATTAAATAATATTCTATTTACTATGTGAATGGGGCTCTTCCTGGGCAAGCTTTACCTATATTTTATCTTCCCAGGATTGATAATAAATTATTATATTTGATCAATCTCACATTCACAATGCTATACTGTAAAATATTCTTAATGACAAATGGACAAAGTGGATTCTTTAAGTATTTTTCATTAAGAATAGATAACAAATATTATGGATAGAAATAAGCTATTCTATGATGTATATAGTTTAAGAAATATGAAATATTGTGCTTTTTAATTAACTTGCCTACTGTGATAAACAGTTTCATAAGTAATTGTTAAAATGTATCCTCAACATCCAAGTAGACTTCAAAATCATATACGTAAAATAGAAGTCAGGAACAACTTCTATAATACAATATGCCACAATTATTTGAGTACAAACTATTACTAATGAAATAAAAAACAAAACTTTAAAAGCTTAAAAGTCGAACAGAGTTTATCATATAACATAACATCAAAACTTTTAAAGCTTAGAATAGAAGATAAAATTGTACGAAAAGTCGCACAATTTGTGTTGTTGCGTATCAAGCACGCAAATTCAATTGCGAATTGCGGAAAGAACTGAATTTACTCCCGCCATTGTGTGGTCTATTTTTTAAATTTACACTACTACTCGTCCAGAAATATGTACAATAAAATTAACAATTTATATAAAACCAATTTTTTAAAGCAAAATTCTATTCTGTCTACATTTATTTGATCCCAAATGACATAACTAAAGCAACTGTATGGAAAACTGAAACAACAAAAGTAATTAGCCAGATCCGAGACAATATAGAAAAGTTTATTTTCTACAATAATCCAATTGAAAATCGAACCTGGCTCTTCAGAGACGGCGCCACTTTGAAACCGGCATGCGAGCATATTCTGCATACCCATAATGAAATCTAATACTTTATTAAATAGTTAATATAACGACATAGTACAGTTTAATAAATTGAATTTGAATGAAAATAATTAACAGTTACTGGTGTTTGAAACGCAAGCTATAAAAGCTAATGAACAGGAACGATATTATTAACGAAAATTACGCAAATTTCACGTCTCCTAATTTCTATTCCCCATGTTATTTTCCATGGAATCACAAATTAACAAGTGAACGGTTCTGTTCCATTTGTTCCCTGTTCCGATTCCAATTGTCATTCCCATGTTTAGGTAATGAGAATGATTTCAGGTCATATTATTGGAGTTTCTATATTTGAGTTTAGTAGAACTAGTGGCCTAATAGTGAAATTTTAAAATCTTTTAATCGTGTAACTAAAGTCACAATCACTTTTGGAACGAATAATGATTGGGTTGATATAAATGTCATAGACATTTCATTTCATATTTCCCAATATTTTTCAATGATAGTTGTAACTATCACTTTGTTTAAGCAATTCCGATTAGCGTTAAATAAATTTAATCGTTCATCCAATAACTCTCAAAAAAGGCCGTTATCGCGAACTAGTTGGAGCGTGAAGTTCGTGAATATCTTTCAAAGGAAAATTCATTTAAAAATTAGATAATTAGGAAACAGTTTCATAAGATTCATCGTTGTACCTGTGTAGAAGTTTAATATTTGAAAGGAGTAAAATTGGGCCCATGGTAACGTAAAATTTTAGATTTTGATATTGTTTTTATGCCTGTAACATCGCGACACGTCTCTATAGTCGTGAATAGGGACGATGACTAATTTTTGTTTGTTTGTACGTCAGGAAGTTTATTTAAGAATATTAAACTTTTTTTTTTTATATCTTTTCGTCACCAATAAATTATGGCGATACACCTTTGTGGAATTTCTACACAGTTGTGACGAAAACGTTGTGTGTGACCGAGTACCCCACTCCTCAACTTTAATGCCTATTATATAAGCCATTTCTTATAAATTTGAAGCAAAATAAAGTATGTATCAAATATTTTTCTATTACCTGGCTGATGGAATAAGTAAAATTCCTTCTTTTTTATCACAGTCCTATTGTCTACAAGTATAACGTTAACATAACATTGAGATTATATATTTCTTAGAACTCATGAATTCTATCAAAAATGTATTACTTTAATATATAAAATGTCAATATTAATTTAATGAATTTTAACATTACAGAACTGTTTTATTTTAACTAAAATAAATGAGCAATTCTTTTATCTTGTGCTTAGACAGTCGATATACTTAAAATCATTCGTAGTATCTATATTAGAATAGGTGTTACTCGATCTGCTACGAGTTAAAAGTTGACTACGATCTCGTAGCATAAAAGTAAAAAGTTGACTACGATCTCGTAGCATAAATTTATCTGTCGTTATTTTTTATCGAATGTTCGACACGTAGAAAAAGTTCAATTACAACGATTTAGACAAAATCTTTCAAAATAAATATCAAATACATATAAATTAAAAATATTCACGACGAGATATAGAAAAAATACAATATCAAATATACTCACTATCGAGCCACTTAGAGTCGTATTTCAAAGTTCGTTTGAACGAGAACTCCCTCCTTCCCGTAGTCAAATTGTGCAAGTCAGTTCTGAAGATGACAGTGTCGGCTTTGGTGAATTCCGCATTGGTACCAGAGTATAAGGCTGGTAACGAGCCGGGGTTTCCTCTTTCGACCCACAGCGCTGTCGAATTGTCCGCTGGGTCGTATGGGCATTTCGCGACGCCCATACCTATGCCAGGCACGTATTCGTGGCGCGGCAGGTGGGTGAGATTCGACTGAAACAAAAGATATAAAGCTCATTTTTATTGTTCCAGCTTGTCGTACAGGTGCGATATTGCTCGGCTGTTGTTTTTTTTTATAACTATAGTTGAAAATGTCAACTTGTATTTCGAAATGTTAGCGGAGAACAATTGGAGAGAATTGACTTAAATATTTTTTATTTTCTAAATTGTTAAGTCAGATCAATTGTAGTGTACCGACCAAGAACATTATAAACTATAATTAAAAGTGAGGGTATCGTATTATATGTTTGTGCGAAGTAATCTATACTAAAATTATAAACTGGAAAGATTTAATTGTTTATCTTCATTGAATGGGCTACTAAACTTCTGGACCGATTTTTATAATTCTTTCACCTATAGAAAGAGGCATCTTAGGCGGCTGAGAGAGGCTACAATTTACGCGGATGATATCGCGGTTATAAAGTAAACTAAAAAAATGATCTCAAAAATTAATACGACGTCTTCGTATTCTTCAGCTTAACAGATCGAGGTGGTCCTGGGTGATCGAGGAAATATTTCATTTCATGTTTTTTAGTGATATTGACATTTTTTTAATATAACGTTAATTTATTTTTTAGAGATTAATGACAATTTTTGACATTTTATTACTTCTATAACATTTCTTTTCGTTTTCATTATTATATTATTGCAAAGAACTTAAGCTTCTTTATGGAACTGGCCACGTACTCTTGAACCATGACACTCGTGACCATGATTCGAATACAATACGCACCATAGTCTTAACGATCTATCAAACCTCCCTAAAGTCCGAAAAAAAAACATTTTGTTGCTCGATCGCTCCTATTTCACGCGCCATTAATCTAAAACTTTCCGCAAAAAAAAAAAACAAATTGAATTTATGCGTTTCAAAGTCACTCCCAGCGTTGCATGCCCCCACTCAACAACACATCTGCTATTAATTTCTAAAAATTTATGTCCGTTTCACGTGGTCCGCGATTTATAAACCGAAACTTATTATTTTGAAGGCAGTTTTTTCCCCGCACAAAATTCCTCTATTAGTATAATGCGATGGGTGGCGGTACGGTTTTTCGGAATTATCATAAAATTACTAAATGTAGCATAAAACGTGGGGTGGGCAGCTCGTCGTGGATTGAGACTTTATGTAAATTTTAACGACGCTGCGACCATCGGCGGCACCTGCGACCTGGTCCCCCCTCACCTGTCGAAAACCTATGTCGTTTTTATTTCAATAAGGCGAAGATTAAATTAGGCATGAGAGGATATAGCGGGCCGGCTACAGAGCAATTTTTTATATTCATGCTTCAGAAAGCATTGTGGTTACTAAACTGCGTGATTTGACCGCGACTAATCAAGCGTCGTTAATAAATTGATGATTATATTATTATATTTTATCGTGGGAAATTACACTTTAATAATATCAATATTACATTCAGAATTCAATGCAGCTTGCAGTAGTAATAACCTCGTTTGATAAACGTATAGGTTTACCTTAGTATAACCATTTATGATGTCTAGACTAGACTGAAATAAAATTTGAAACTGAAACTGTTATTTGGCAACAAAAATGCTTATTTAAACAGTAATCTCTTCGTTTTATACTGATTCATTTAAAGAATTTCTGAATCCAGCGAACACAAGCGAAAATAAAATATTTTCCGAAGTAACTTTTTACTTTCACTTATTATGCGAGTAGAATAAGTTAAAGTACAGAGTATTAACCTACGTTTCTTGTGAGTAATCTGACAGAAGCTTAACAAAGTTTATCATAACTCTTCCTCCAACTGAAAACAAAAGAAGGAAACGCTAAAGAAAACACAGACTTACAACTCCATTACGCGTCGAAAACCCAGAGCAAATACTTTGGAATCACACGAAACAACAAAGCGCTTTGAATGGAGTATTATTTTCAGGGACAGTTTGTAGTAGCCTAAGTCCGGGATAAATAAGCAAATGGATGGTCCGGATGCGGCCCCGGGCACGAAGAAAGTTTACGAATGGACCAGTGGGTCCTCATTAGGGCCCTCTTTGTTTGTTTACGAAATTAACAGACTTCAATATTGCGGGACGGGTGATGGATGCTTTTGATCAAAAGGTGGCTCCGTCTCAAATTTGTTTGAAAAAGTAGGGCGGCTGTGATTGCCGATGACGAATATCGTTGGAAATTGTCCGATGGGTTTAGAATTAAAATTGTAAGGAACATGTTATTATTATTTATTTTTTTAAATATTTATTACTGTTTTATTTTATATCTGAGCAATTTATCTGTGTGTCAGATTTATTCAATTTGAAGAATACATCATAATGTAATAATAAAAGGGATAGATCTTTATTTTTACCTGACCATGGCGAAGCGAAAAGTAGGGTTATGTTTTTGGCCGATATGTATGTATGTAAGATTGTTTAAACTTCGAAACTACTCATCGTAACTAAACAAATAAGTTATCATTAGAAAGGTGTTTGTTGTTAGCGTGCAATAGGCTATGTGACGTTAAATTAAATTGGCAACAGCGCCCTCTAGAGAGCATAAAGTATGATTAAAAAAAAATAATATTATTCAATCATCTCGTGTAGGGTATCAAATGAAAGGGTTTGATTAGCACATTTCAAATAAAATCAATAACTTTTGCTTGCGATTTTGCTTAAATACACATCAAAATTTATTAAATAAAAAAAATGTTCAAAAACTAAAACCCTACTACAGCTAGTCGCGCTCTAAAAAGTTTGAAACAAGAAATTTATATTATAGCAATAGATATATTATAATAGCGATGAATAAATGATAGCGTAGTCGTATGCCACAACAGTTTGTTTTGTAATGGTCTGACTACGCTACCTAACTTCTTTTTTGTACTTATTTTTTACTATACTGATATAACTATAGGAAAATTTACGAACCTTTAAATGCCATTAAACTACGTTCAGACATTTCTACAAATTTCTTTCTTCAATATTTTTGTAATTCTTACATATTAATTATGAAGGACGCTAGGTAGCGTATCGTTTGAATACGCTTCACTAAATCACTATCCAATATATTTTCTGTCTGTCTGTTTGTTCCGCATAATCTCTAAAACGGTTGAACCTAATTTGATGGGTCTTTCATTGGCACATAACTTATGTACTACGGAGTAACTTAAGCTACTTTCTACGCGGACGAAGTCTCAGGCACAGTTGGTCAAATATATATAAAAATATTGTTGAAAGCTTATTATAAAAGTACATCAAATGAAGTCAAGGCTTATTACTAGAAGAAAATATCTTTGTTCCAAAAGAGGTATAAAAATAGAGCTCCGATAAGAGCTGTATATACGAATAACAGACACCTTAGGGGAAGCAAACGTGTGCATAATCAAGAACACAGTATGAGAGGTTTTGGTGCAGTTTTGGAGACCCGTATCAACTTGCATACAAAATTAATATATATTCATAAAATAGAAATAAACCGTAAGTTGGGTTAAGATATGACGAGAATTTTAAGGGGATGCGGGAGACAGTGGGAAATGTTAATTACTTCATAAAATCTTCTAGGAGTAATTATGTTTTTATGGCACCAGTTGTAAAATAACTTCAGTATAAAGTAAAACATTTGTGACGTGTTGCTGAATAAGTCAAGAGTCTTCTAACAAAAATAAATACTTATTGAATTACCCTTGAAATACGTATTTTATGATAAAAAGATTAATGTAATAGACTTGGATAAAAATGATGAACATATATATAAATAAACATATCATGGTGATGTAATTGCATTTTTCTTCAAATTTGAAGAGCAGACAAGTCTATACTACCTCTAATAGCATAATATTAGTATTATACTAGGAATATAAGTAATATTAGTATAAGGCGGACAGATTAGATTTTTTTGTTTGCATTGAATAGGTTCCGAGCTACAGAATTTATTTAAAAAAACCTCTCACCTATGGCTACTTTATACGCGACTTAAATTATGCGAGCGAAGTCACGGAAAAACAGCTATTATTAGACATAATTTGATCTTGAGTAATACTAGTTCTGTAGTCACTCTATGCTTGTATAGTTTAGTAGAGCATTACATTTATTAATCTGAACTGAATTAATAATAATAATAGCTATACTCATATAAATTGTTTATTGCACAAAAAGAAAATGACTTGGTCCCACATCATTAAAAAATTTAGCCAGTATTTTTATTAAATAATAATGGTTTTGTATCCTGGGTAATAATGGTTTTGTATGGGGCAGTCTTATAGAGGAAAAAAGTTCCTAATAAAAAAAAAAGATAAAAAAAATATTCTTTTACATCATGTTCTCATTAACTGTCTAAGAAGGCAATTAGTTTGTTAATACTTTATGTAATTTTGGATAGGCGACACGAATAAAATCATTCATACAAACATAGAAATACACGTTTATTAATTCTTAGTTTGAGATATCAAATTGAGGACAATAAAATGGAATAAGAGCCGACAATGATCGTAAAACTTCGATATTTTAAAGGGCTCTAATTCGTAACAGGATTGTATTTGCACCTGCACCACGCCTGATATATTGCCTTGCACTACAACTACTATTTGTTACAGAGTAAGCCACTGATGATTTAATGTCGTTCGACCGAAAAAGTTTGTTAGCTAACAATTGTTTATGGCAATATGTAAAATGTTGCGCATGAATCCTCTATGTTTGTAACGAAGTACTAAATAAAGAAGTAATGCTGAAATTTTTTATGCAGCAAAATATCATCATTTCAGTCCTTTTAGATGTACATTATGTTCTAAAGTTTGTAGTTATTGTTTTATTATTTGTCTCCACTCATATGTTATTTATCTTTCATGAGTGTAAATTCTTTATTACCGATTTAAAATGAGGGGACTCTTAATTCATCTGTACATCTATGGTCAACATATAAAGGTTTGTATTGTTGATCGAAGATAAAGTCTAAAAAATTCCAACAAAAATCTGCCCAATTCGGTGTACAAATATTACATAAAAAGTCAAATTAGATTAAATTATGTCATCAACTCATAATAAATGTC